ACGTCACGCCAGTATAGAGATATTTTCAATGAATAGTTCAATATTGGGTTCTTTAAACCAAAAAAGGACCAGTGTACTGTTTGTTCTGTTTTTAATATTTCTAGTGATGCTGAAAAAGCAAAATAATTGCTCGAACAATATGAGTCCCATACGAAAAACAAAGAAGTTATCAGAAACTTAAAAGACATAGACAAACAGCTTGCACTAGATGGTAAGAGCTTGTGTGTGGCTTGCTTTGACCTTCAAAAGGTTTTAGCTACCCTTTGTCTAACGTAAGTGATTTTTACTACAAAAGCAAATACTCTACATATAACTGTACAGTTTATGATGTTGGAAATAATCAGGGTTACTGCTATGTATGGCACGAGCAGGTGGCTAAAAGAGGTCCTAATGAAATTGCCTCTGGAAATTTTTAGATCTCAAGGCACAACAAAGTGTTAAAACGATAATATTCTACTCAGACAACTGTGGGGGACAAAATAGGAATCGTTTTGTGTTTTCGATGTTTTGTTTTGCTGCTGCTCATTTTCATATTGATATTGTTCACAGATTTCTGAAAAAAGGCCACACTCAGAACGAGGGTGACAGTATGCATGCTGTTATCGAAAATGCAAAGAAAAGGCAATCGGTTGTATATGTGCCAGAACAGTGGGTTACATTAATTAGAATGGCTAAAACTACAGGAAGAGTTTATGATGTTACGGAAATGTCCCAAGATAATTTTTTTTGATTTTAAAAAACTGACTGATACCGAGAATTGGAAACTTGACAACGAAAAGAAATCAATAAAAGTTAGCAAAATACGAGAAATAAAATTTTCGCATGAACACCAAAATTCTATAATGTTTAAATACGAATTCGATGATGGTTTTAGAGGTTGTGACATAAAATTAAATCGAAAATGCAGAGGACGGCCTTCCACTACTATCAAATTTCCACCGAAACTGTATGATGCACCATTACCAATTGAAGAAAAAAGCTAAAAGGATTACTGTGGCTGTGTAATACCGGCAAAATACCCACAATGTACCATGGATTTTATAAAAATCTTAATTCAAAGAGTTATGTACCTCCTAAAGTCGAGCTCGAAGTTGATTCAGTTGAGAGCGAAGAAGAGTCGGATGAGGAAAATTGAATTAAAATATAAAACTGCGAATTATATCAGTAGCTTTAAAACGGGAAAAATAAAGATATTCTTGATATAACAAAATGATATAAATATTGTGCATGTAAAATATAAGAAAAAAACTTATAGACAAAAAATTAAATTTTGACCATAAATTATTATTTAAAAAAAAAACGCAAGGTTACATACGAGTACTTTTTAATCTATTCGTCATCTAGCACCCCCCACCTGTCTTAGAAGCTTCAGATATATGCGAACAATTTTGCCGTGAAATCGATGATTTTTGTTTAAAATTATCTCAGCTACATTTTATATTTAAAATGTTTTTTTTCTATTGCGTACAAATTCTTGGTTAAAACGATTTTTTGTGTTTTTACCCGCATACAAGGGGGATTTATGGGGAAGCTTGGCGGTAAAAGTGATAAGTTTTTTTGCATCTTTTTTGGGGTCCCAAAATTAATATTCTGGGCAAAATTCACCTTGTTGTTATGATTTTTAGAGGTTCAGTGGCATTTTCGTTTTTGATTATTGGAGTATAATGGTGTTCTCAGTACTTCATAACTTAAAAGCTTAGCGAGTTATGAGTAAAAAGTAACCAAATATTTTAGGACATATCAGAAGATAGAGATTTGAGCTATTAAGGCACATAAAGCTTTCACCCATCCTTACAAACTAATAAGGGTTGTTTTTTAAGTTGAAATAAAATAAATTCATAACATTTTGTTTAAAAAATTATTGTATTTATAGTTTTACTGTAAAAAAATACTACAACTATTCAATTTTCTTTGCAAGATGTGGTCAGTAAAGAAATCTAAATTTAATGTCACTGTATAATTAAATATTTCCAAATTGCTTGACTTTACAATTATATGATTGTTTTGCTAATAGGTGTCGTTCTCACCCTAAAAAATAAAACACAACGAAGGGCACAAGTCCAATTTTGACGTGGAGGGTAAGTATATCAATCAGTGAAGACAAGGTATTCAATGACATTATTTTAATTATTGAAGGCATCCTCAAAACTACAAATTGGTCAACCTATGGCATTAACGTTAATGGCAACAAGTTAAACCACCTCGCTGACGACATAGTGATTATAGCGAGCACATTCGAGGAACTGCAAATTATGATGGGGGAACTAGCAAGCAACTCCCAATACGTCGGCCTAAAAATAAATAAGAAAAAACAAAAATAATGACAAACACAGATGACCCCAGACATATAACTATAAATGGCAGTGAGATAGAACAAATCCAGGAATATATCTACCTAGGCCAAATCCTGAAACTTGACAAAGAGAACCAAAATGCGGAAATTATTAGAAGAGCAAGACTAGCATGGGCAGGATTTGGAAAACTTAGTTGGATACTTAAGAACCGCAAAATACCCCAATACTTTAGGAGCAAAGTGCTCAACCAATGCATCCTTCCTATCATGACATATAGATGTCAAACTTGGACCCTAACCAAGGCAAACATGAATAAACTAGCCACAACAGAAAGAACAACGGAAAGAGCAATGTTAGGTATACGACTGTCAGATAAAAAGAGGAACGACTGGGTAAGATCAAAAACAAAAGTCGAGGACATAACAACAAAAATTGCCAAACTTAAATGGAGCTTCGCGGACCATACTGCTAGACAAAAAGTTTAACTTTGGAATACTACAATACAACATTGGAGACCTTACGAAAGTAAACGACCAAGAGGAAGACCACAGATGAGATGGGTTGATGACAATAAAAGAATAGCCGGAACAAATTGGAAATATGCTGCTCAGGATAGAGATCGATGGAAGGAGTTGGGAGAGGCCTATGTTGTCCAAACATGGACGATAGAAGGCTAAGAAGAAGGAGTTTAATTATAACTGGGGGTGAGAGTTAGGGTTTTTTTTTTTGTATTCAAAGAACAACAATCAGAGTTCGAGTTAGTACTAAATGTAAGTTAAAAGTAAATTAAATAATTGACTTGTTTTGATTGTTCTTTTTTTGTTTGTTTGTGATTTTTTTTAAATTTTTTTTAATTTTTTTTAATTTTTTTAAATTTTTTTAAATTTTTTTTTATTTTTTTAATTTTTATTTTTTATTTTTTTTTTATTTGATTTTTTTATTTCTTTGTATTACTTTTTTGATATTGTATATAATATGTATATATATTTTTTATTTTGTTTTGGTCTTTTTTTACATTAATTTGGTTTTGCCTATTTTTTTTTATTTGTTTTTTTTTGTTTCTTTTTTTCCATTTTTTTCGTATTAAAAGGTTTATTACATGATTGATATGTTCGCAAATTGCTTACAAATTTTATCTTAATTCTGGGGTTATTACATTATATTGTTTAAAGTTTATATTTACAATTTCTTATTAACTGATAAATAAAATTAAAGATTTCTAAGTTTCCAGAGAAAATTAATTCATTTATGTGAAATGGGAAACAGGCATTTAGTTTTCGTAAGTTTTCATAAAAACATGTAATATTTCCTTGTTGTTTTACACATTCTAATAGGATATGTGTTAAATCTCCATATTTACCACAAGTACAGTTTGGAGTGTCTGCTAGATCCATTTTGTACATTCTTTGAGGTGTTAGAGCATGATTTGACCTTAGCCTATTAATAGTTTTAATAAAACTTCTGTTGGACTCTGAATAAAACCACCTTTTTTTAAGAAGTGTGGGTTGCCAATTTATTGCCAATAAATGTTACCATGGCTTAATTAGGCAACTAAGATCAGATAACGTCTCCAGAAAAACAAAATGCCAAATATACAAAACCTTAATAAGACCGGTACTCACATACGGTTCAGAAACCTGGACACTCTCTAAAAGGGAGGAAACGTTATTAGCCACCTTTGAAAGAAAAATCTTGCGACACATATATAAGGGCACAAAAGAAAATGGGATTTGGCGGAGAAGGTATAACTTTGAACTATACAACATATACCAGGATCCGGATATTATAACATTCATTAAAATAGGAAGGCTACGTTGGATTGGACATGTGGAAAGAATGGAAGAAGGCGAAATACCAAACAAAATATTCAAACAAGTGCCAGTAAGAACAAGAGGAAGACCGAAGCTGAGATACGTAGAACAAATAGAAAATGATATAACAACATTAAAAATTAAAAATTGAAAAAAAAAGCACGAAACAGGTCAGAATGGAGAAGAATCCTTGAACAGGCCAAGAACCAAAAAGGGTTGTCGAGCCAGTGATGATGATGATGTGGGTTGCCAATATTTAAATGATGACTGTCTTTAGGGGACAGAGTTAGGGGTTAAATTGTGAAAAAAAAATCGTAAATTATGTTTATTCTTAATTGATTTTCATTCACTTTACTAAATAATGAAATTCAATTAACCGCTTTAATTTACAATTATACGATTTTGTTCTAATATGAGTAGTTTTCACCCCTGAAAAATACAGAGCAACCAACGGCACAAGTCCAAAAGTGAAGTATAGGGTAAGTAAAACCTGAATCCAAATTGTCATACAATTCCTTCTTGACACGGAAAATTAAAGGGGATCGTCGTATTTCACGTTCATTTACTGGACTAATAGTCTTAGTTTTTCAAAAACAGTTCTTAAACGAGAGAGACAAAATGAGTTAAGGAAATAAACAACAGTTCAGTGAACGATATACACCATATATAGATATATATTCATTTGCAAATATTTAAAAATCACAACACATTGCTTAATACTCTTCTATTCTGATAAGAAATTGAAATTCCTTGAAAGGAAAATTCCTGTCTCATTGAAACACGATGAATCTCAAATAATTACCCTTCTGAACATGCCAAATATGCTACTAGAATAAATGAAAAATACAGATTTTAGTTTGAAAGTTTATGTATTTTTTCTAAAAAAATTACTCACGGATTTATATTTTTCGGAAAAGCACCACTAAATACAACACAAATCACTATTCTCCTCCCATATTATCCACCTGAGCAACCAGTCCAATACACTACCATAATCGTCAACTAAACGAAAAGGTCATAGGCGTGCACTTTTCCGTATATCAACTACACACCGCACCTCGACCGCGAGCAAAGGGTCAACTTCGTTGTATTGTTCTCAGAAGATGGCCCGAATGGATCTTCTTCGTGGTCGTCACGTTCCCGTATCGGTATTCGTACCTCCGGGCTTTAGGTGAGGACACAGACACACTCGGAGAGTCTTTTACTATTGACTGACGCAACTCGAGACCGCGATACCCGTTTGCGTTACCTTTTTCTTCTTCGACGATCGATTCTTCGTGTGCTTCGCTCTTCGTGTGCTTATCGTCTGCCGCTGTTGTATGTATCGCAACTCTGCAAGAGTCTGGTAGGTGTTGGTCAATCCTTGTTGCCAGATGTCTATCTATCACAAATTAATAAGATCGTATACCCAGAAAAAAATAAGAGTAATGCATAACAATACTACTACGTTTTAAACCACATTTCGCAACTATAGTTCACAGGGGATTTTATGTACAATGTACTAGATTGAAACATGTAGATGTAATTTGCAATATCATTGTTAGACTACAAAAGAGTAGGGAAGAAAATATCTAAAAAAGGACTGATTTATTTTTGTTGACGGTCTTGTGGTCACTTTAAATTAACTTATAATGAACTGTTGAAGCGATGCTTTGTGTGCAATATTAGCAACATTGCTCTGTAAGTCCACATCTTAAAAGCATCTACTTTTCTTTGTTTATTAGTTTGTGCTTGTAGGCAACCATTTAAAATTAATAAAAACCGAACTAAAGAAGGATGATACATTGACAGCTAGAACAAAACTGAATGTAGCACCTATAATGAAGCTATTCACATTATGCGCTTTCAGCACAAATTCATTTAAAATTTTAAATTACTACCTTAGCCTTTTTTTCGAAAGCACTTCCACTCGATAATTCTGCTTTAGCGATCTGCGAAGTTGACCGCCTGCCTCGCTTGGCTAGCTGACCGACACTAACAGCACTTACGAGGTTTGTCTTTTTAATTTTGCATATAGCCATAAAGACAAAAAATATATAGACTTAAAGGACTTTATTGCTTTTCAAAATATGTCCCTCCAAGGGATTGGTGAAACAATAATTCAGTCTTTAGTTGACACCTGCAAAATCGCTGTCTTAAAGTCATCGATAGCTTCTTCTGACCATTGGAATCGCTGCCCACGCATCGTACTCTTGATATCTTTGGAAACGTGAAGAAATCTTTGGGACTTAAATCGGGGCTATGCGGTGCATGGTTAAACAATCGATGTTTTGATACTCCTAATACTTTTCTGTCTTTTCGTGTTTCTGTCTTGTTTCGCGATATCTTCTCGTATCGATAGGTATATGGTATATACCAATCAAAAGTAAAAAACAATTGTTGACACATGACCTGATTTTGACACAAAAGTTTGTCAAAGTGTCAAAGAAAATCGACCGTTTTCTTTAGCACACTTCGAGAACGGATTATTTTGTTGGTGTTTCCTCATCGTGAAACACCCACACGACGGACTGCCGTTTATTTTTCGGTTCGTAGGAGTATGTAATCCAAAATTCATCGCCACTAACAATACTATAAACGTTTTGTGTGAGCCTATTTATCTCTATATCTATAGGGAAAATATTGTGTACAAATAGGATCTTAAACCTACAATATGGTGAAGATATGTGGATGATGTATTCTCCATATGGTCTCATGAACTAGAATGGTTATATAAAATCTAGAGAAAAATCGATCAAATTCACTATTGAAAATAAAAAACTCACTACCATTATTAGTTTTGAAAGAAACAGATAGTAAAACGAGGAAAATTAAAAAAGCCGCCCTCGTCTTAGTCAGATAAGCAAATTATGTTGCAAACTCATCAAAAATATGTAGACTGATACTGAAAGAAGTTACCCTTAAGAATTTATCAATATTTAAGAATTGAGGGCAGGTCAGAGATATAGCAACACAACACACAACCAAGAATATGCACAGAAAGATCATAATTTGATACTAATCGAGAATATAACAACACTGTTTAGGAGTATCAGCTCTAAAAGTAAAAACATGGTCTCCAAGATCAAGACCGAGTAAGTTTCTCCTCCTTATGTCTTGAGCCCTGGTCAGGGCGTGGTGATACTCTAAATATAAGCTTGCTGTCTTCATTGACTACGAACCTGTGCCATATGAACGGCTTCATGTAGGGTTTTTCCCACCAGAATCTTCATTTGGTCTGCTCATCGTCTTGGAGATCTATCTTCCCCTTTAAATATTGGATGGTTTAAGTACCAGAATAGGAGAAAAAGTGATATCAGCAACGAAAATGAGGAAAGAATGGAGGACATCTACACAACAAATGAGCTAAGAATAAACAACATGTCCTTTAATCATAAGATTGATGTCAAGTACACATATAAAAATAGTAGAGGACAAAAACCCATGTTAGGCTTTGCAGTCATAAATAGATAGATAGATAGATAGAACGTTTATTGACCACTTTACATTAAGTTTGAAGTCCGTATAAAAAATACAATAAAAGATATAATAATGTAAACTTAAAATTAACTTAACCATATTGGCTAAAGTAATATACATATGTAAGTATTAGCAGAAGAATTAAAATTAAACAAACCTAAACTGTCACATAAAAAATCTTTGAAATATGGAAGTAACAAAAATGTACAAATAATTAAGAATATTCCCGAATCGATGACTAAATAGAATCATTATAAATGAAGTTTATAATAACTCTCGTTGGAGGTAGCCTAGGAATAACAAAATCGATAAAAACTGGACAAAAAGTAAAAAAAAACACTAGGATATATAAAAAGACCATAAGGTACCTAGACCAAGAGTAGATACGATCAAATCATAAATATTATTGGAGACAGCGGCAATGAAAGTCCTGCAAAAGATATTAAGCAAAACGCTGAAAGACAAAATAAGAAGAGAGAAAGTTAAACTAGATGGTTGATAGAAGGTACAAATCAGTGAACCAACCACTGCAAGAAAACCAGAGGAAAATAGATTGTAATCGACATACAGAAAGAATATCAGACGAGAGAAAGCAGCAGATGGAAACCATATCAGGCAATATCAGTTGATATTAAAAGCTACGCTAAAATAGGCTATTCCTATCAAAATAGAAGTGTTTAATAATTATATTGAATCGCTGGTTTAAATTATATTGAATAAATAATTATAACGAAAAAATGTGATATTGTTGATAACATAAAATTGGTGAAAATAGCAACTATAAATTGTCAATAAGTTATGAAATCAACTGGTTTACTCATTATTGTTGTTTTGTACTAAGAACAGACTTACCCTTTGAAGATATTGATGCCGTCTTAACAGGAATTGGTCGGAATACCGACGCTAGCGTCGCCGCCGAGGCCCAGCACCAGAACCGTCCGGAACTAGATGCGTGTCGATCGTTGTCTCACGAAGAAAAAATGCCAATTGAGAATGCGTTAATATGGTCAGAGTTAAGGACCCTCGAAGCGTTGTGGTCCGGAAGGATCTACCCATAAATCTTTCCATTGTATGGCGACCTTCCCGATAATCTTAGCTAATTGTGACGGTAACACGACACTTTAAACTTGTGTGTATATTTTTGAACCATAAAAAGAGAAGCCAAATTCTCCGTATTTACAACATCATAAATGAGATATCCAGTTTAAGATTTATGAGTGAACAGGAAAAAATATATTTTAAAAGATTGAAATACAGCACCCAAATTAGGTCATATTACAGTACTGTAACAGAAAAAATATTAACTGTAAAAATATGAAATGAATGCGCGCATACTTTCTCAAACAAGAAGGAATAAGATTAAACATTGGTTTCTTTTAATAACTTGATATAACCCTTACGAATCATATAGATAACTTTTTGGTGGATTATGGATTCTTGATAGGTTAAGTATTTAGCTTAATGAGTGTTTTGGGATATAAAGGCCTTTGAAACTACCATTGGGAGATGAAGTTTAACTGGTCTAGTCATAATTGGCAGAAAGTAATGACAGCGGAGAAAGACTTATCAAAACTTGTGCGGAATATAACTTTAAGATACTAAATGATTTTTTTAACATAAATACACTTACAATTATACCTGGACATAACCAACGAGTAGACTAAGGTGAATAAGCGATAATACCGTTAGATATTACCTTTTGTATTTGACGAATTACAGATAAAAGGCTAGTGCATAATCTATAAACGTTTTTATCGATTAAAAAAAACTTTTTACTGTGCGATGGCAAACCTTTTTCTAAACCCTGGACTGCAATGAAAAGACAAAACATCAAATGTGCTAGAATGGGTTTTGAAATAAACAACGAAATAGAGGTTATTCACTCATTATTATAAGCACTCTCCCCCAGGTTATTCTAGCAGATGGCGAAGAAAACGCCCACTTTATGGTAAGAAAACTTAATCAACAGGAAACAGTAGAGATTTGACATTGGAAGACAATTACAAGTCTCTCTACTAGCCACAATTACAAATATCTTGGTTTATTAATTTCAGAAAGGAGAGGTAGCGACGAGGACAACAGAAATAAGATAGGAAATATTACATTGAGACAACTGCACCCGGTAATTAGGGATAGGAACACTCAAATAGGAGTTAAAAGACATTACAAGGGTATTGTAGAGAGCATTGCGACATATGGATTGGAGGTGTACTCGAAACGGATTTTTGGCGTTGAATTTGCGGATTAACTAACTCAAGTTGGAATAATGATGAAATGATGTAATAAAAGTGAGATCTGAGACGAATACAGATATAATAAATAACTTAGAAACTTAAAGACTTAAGTGGTACCGTGACTTAAGACGAATACCAGAATATATATGAACAATATGGAAGTAGGAGCTAGTTCATCGAAGAAGAAGAGGGAGACCAGAAACCTCCAAAGTGACGATTTGGTAGATAAGAAAAGGTGGGGACTAGGAAGCGAAAAAGCCAAATAGTGTACACCCAGTTGCATGATGATGATGAAGTGTTAAATTAGCAAAAGTGTTATGTATGTTAAAAGTGCAAGCTTTTTACATAAACTTTATGAAACAGAATGTGAAAACTCCTCTAGAAATGGGAATATGAACTGCAACTAAAAATTTTTTTATTGCGTTCAAAATAAGACAGTTTTTTTAAACCTTAAACAATCATAGCATTTTTAGACGTATACATTTTTGACAATATCATTTAGAGTTACCTAACTTCGATTTAAAAAAAATCCAAAAAGAGACCATTTTTTTATTTTACCCGGAGAGATACAGTAATTTTGTAACTAAAAAAGATAACCTTA